GGGTTAGTGTCAGAGGGAGGTAGATAAGTTATGTGGACAGTGACCTGAATTAGCCTCAGGAACCAAGAGTTGGAGTCATTAGTTCATAGGGAAACTACTGGATGGAGTAGTTGGATGGAGAGAGCTTAGTTTGGAAGGAAAGCAGAAGACAAACATTGCTTTGTGTGCCATGTCAGAGACTTACATCTTAACTTCTATGCTATGGGGTGGTGTCGTTTCTAGAAAAATGTCAAATTATGCGGCTTTGAGCAAATAGTATCATTTTCAATAAGATTCTTGGTCTATCTTGATCCAATCAATTGTAATATTATCAGATAAAGGTATTTAAAGTAGCAGGAATTTTCTTACATAATACATATTTTTGTGTCACGCATACACACCCCTCTGCTTTATTTTTGTTCCCAATCAAAACTTCGAAGATAATTAAGAAATAAAAGACACTTACCTTCAAAATAGCTTAAAATAGCAGAGTTAATTCTATCAAATAGTTTTTCTCTCAAGGAATACTTCTGATTTTTAAATAATTAATTTACAAATTACATACCTCTTCTTTTTTTTTTTTTAAAAAAAAAAGGCAAAACAAGAAACAGAAGCAGTAACATAAGCTTTTTTTTTTTTTTTTTACAACTTTGCACTTTTCCATAGTAGTCTTTGTCGTTAAGTTAGAAAATAGCCCCCCCTTGTGACCAGAAATTAGCTAATTGGCCATAAGAGCAAAAAATGAAACAAACTTTAAGCAAGTCTCCAGAGTGGAGGAGGCAGAAAATCAAGAAAAGACTGCCCCTTTAGAATGATGTTACTGTTACATTTCTTAGGTTAGAAAAATTCTAGTTTGTAAACACTTAAAATACCCCTTTGTTGATGGTGCTGTGGTTAATTATGATTATTAACTCTAATTCCAAAAGCAGATTTATGTTTGATCTGTTCTGTAAGAAATTTATTTTTTTTAATTCTATTTCTTACATTTATAAAGTATATTCACTGTTGGGTTATACAACGTGTACAATACAAACAATAATAACCAACATCTTTACCATTTTTTCCTGAAAAGTATTAACTATAATGTGGTCACTAATAAAGGTAGCATTTTTGGTAGGTTAATGGGGGTTTAGAAAGACAAAACAGAAAATTACGTAGTCAAAGATGATTTATAAAAATTATCACCATATCCTTGTATACTCCTTTTTAAAATTAGCACGGTCATGAGTTGCTATTTTAGGTAGCCAAGTATGATGGGCATAGTCCCTGAATGCTGAAGAAAGCCTAAAGACTACCATTTTTCTTTTTTAAAGTGAAAAAGAACAAGAAATATATTGCCAAGAAAATATAGATGTAGTTTAGCTTTAACACCTAGAAAAATACTGAAGCAAATCTCTGATCAGCCAATTTGGATTCATCTCTAGGAGTGTGAAGAATGTAAAAACAAAACAAAAATGTAGCTTTGTACACACAAAAGTAAATGACCTTAATCTAACTAAAACCAAGATGAATTGAGATTAAAATGAACTAATGAGCTAAAATTAATCCAATTTCCTGAAAAACAACAATAGTTATTGTTAGTATTTGCTCTAACATTTTTTGAGGGTTTATTATCAACCAGGCATTATGCTAAGCACTCCATATATATTATCTCCTACAATATAACACTTTCCTATTGTTATAATTCATATTTCACAGATAAAGAAATTGAGGCTTATGGAGTTTAAGTTCTGTGACTAAAATCAAGTCATAGGTCAGATTTCAAACTCAGAGCTGGCTCACTAGCTCTTAACCTCTTTGTTGAAAACCAGGACTGGTATTTGCATGATCACATATACATTCTACATTTCACCTTCTACATTTTTACACTGTATCTAATACAGTCAGGGGTATTCAGATCAATTTGTAAAAGCTGAAATCTTCCACATGATGTAATACCCAAATTGCTTAACAAAGACACTGTTGTTAAGAGAGCCCACTGGGGTAGATTAAAGAATCAAAAGTCAAAGGTGGGGAGGGGAGGGGAGAAAATTGTGGTATTTTGACTAAGGAGAGAAAGGCCAGGGATTCAGTTTGGGAAGACTCTTTAGATTATGCTAAAAGTAAGGATTTAGACTTTCTGATTCTATGAAGCAGAATATTCGATGATATTGTGCTCTTTAGCATCCGGAATACAAATGTAGTTTGGTTTGGCCCAAGTTGTATGGCTTTAGGTCTGGTTCAGGATGGAATACAGCATTCTATTTTAGTGTGGAACAATTCAGGGAAACTCATTCTCATTTTAATTCATCCATAAGTTACATAACAGGCTCCCCTACCCCCCACCCACCCATAGTCTTTTTTCTTTTTCTTCTTCCTCCTCCTTTTCCTCTTTTTCCTCCTCCTTCTTTCCCCCCACCCCCGCTCCTCCCTCAATTCTTCCTTCCTTCTCCTTTGCCTCCTTCCCTTCCCTTTCCCTTCCTCCTCCCACCCTCCCCTTCTTCTTCCCCTTCTTTTTTTCTGTCTCTGTAAATCTCCTGTCAAAACTTTTCTGGAGAGAGGGGCACCTGGGTGGCTCAGTCGGTTAAGCATCAGACTTCGACTCAGGTCATGATCTCATGGTTCGTGGGTTTAAGCCCCGCATCAGGCTCAGTGCTGACAGCTAGCTCAGAGCCTGCTCCAGGGAGCCTGCTTCAGATTCTGTGTCTCCCTCTCTCTCTGACCCTCCCCTGCTCACACACACACACACTCACAGGCACTCTCAGAAATAAATTAAAACAAACTTTAAAAAAATTTTTTAAAAACTTTTCTGGAGTAGAGCCCTAAACGGGACCAGGCACCTAGTTAATACTTGTTGAATGAATGGGGGGAGTGACACAAAAGAGTCTTAAATATGAAGAGGTACAGCTAGATAAAGGAGGAGGAGGATATTCCAGATAGGATATCTTGAGCTGTGTGGGGGCACCTAGGGGGCTCAGTCAGTTAAGCAGCTGGCTTTTGATCTTGGCTCAGGTCAAGGTATCACAGTTTGTGGTCCCTGCATTGGGCTTTGTGCTGATACTGCAAAATCTGCTTGGGATTCTCTCCTTCCCTCTCTCTTTGCCCCTCCCTCTTTCTCCCTCTCAATATAAATTTTAAAAAATTTAAAAACAAAATAGAACTGGGCAGTATGAATTATTTCGGGAGATCCAAGTGGCTGAACATGGCTGGAGTAAAGGCTGTGTGATAGAAAGGTTGTACAGCTTAGTGACAGCTAAGAGCCAGGACTCTGGAACCTGCTAGCTGTCTATGGTTTGAATCCTGTTTCTACCTCTCATGAGCTATGGTTCTTTGGGCAAATGATACCTCATTTGCAGTAGGCAGTACCTACCTCATGGGGTATTAGGAAGATTAAGTGAATTATAGCATAAGAAGTGCTTGGAACAGTGCATAATACATAATGAGCACTCAATAAATATGGATTCTACTATTATCAGGTAGATGAGTAGTGGGTGGTGGGATAGACGGGACATGTCTTGGGGTTTCCTATGTAAAAAGGAAGGACATTTATGCCAAGAGCCACTGAGAGTTTTTGAAGATTTGTAAAAATTGAGGAGACAGGGTATGGTTTGAATTTGTGATTCTGGGACCAAGCTGAAGACAGGAAGACCAGTGAGGAGGCAGTTGCAGTAATCCGGATGAAAAGAAATAGGACGGAAACTAAGTCAATTCTAGGTGTAGTGGAGAGGAGAGAGAATAACCAGGGAGAGTTAGCAAGTTGAACCATAGGACTTGGCACCTGACTGCGTTAGAGAGAGGGCCAAATCTCAGTTGTCAGGCAGGAGAAACTGGATGGGTGAAGATGTTACTGAGAATGGGAATATCAGAAAAGGGATGGATTTGGGGGAAGATGAGGAGTTTAGTTCTGTACATGGTATCTTTGGTTTTAGACATGTAAGTTTGAAGAGAACAGCCAAGTACCAATGCCCTAGTAAGAAATGGAACTCCAAGAAGAACCCTAACCAATATATTAAGTCAAGATGTCTATACTTCTGGGCTTAAGAACAGTAATTTTTTGTTGGTTGTTTAAGATGCTACCTATACCTTAATTATAGATTGTCGTAGACTTTGAGTCCGGAGTTCTCTCTTGGAGAGTGAACACAGAATTGAATACAAGAGAAACTATTGTCCAGGAGGAGAAAATAGCCCCGAGTTAGGGTCCTTGCTCCATATTTATTAGGATCAGAAGGCTGACAAAAGTGATGGATGTGCAGAAAGAGACAGTAAAACAGTGATCATTAACTCAAGAATGTAAGAGAAAGGTGGTTTCAAAGATATGCAGTATTAGGGGTTTGGGTCAATACAAAACAAAATCGTGGCACTAAGTAGATGGCTATTTACTGTAGGCACCGGGCACCATGTCTGTTTATCTTAACTGGTCTAGGGGATAAGACAGAGTATGCTACTTCAGGGTTAACAAGGCTTTTTATTTTTTATTTTTTTCCTAATTGGTTCCAGGCAATTTCACCTTGTTCTGGAGGTCTTTTGCCCTATTTACCTGTTTACCTTTTCTCAGGTGCTTTAGTCCTTGGAAGCAGCTTTCTGCTCTACCCTTGTTCTATGCTAGGGGCTCTTTCGCCCAATGGCCACTTTCTGCTCTAAGCCTTGTTAGCCTATTGGTGCAAGCTCAGGGAATTCTTAAACTTATACCCCACAACAGATATTAATATTAAAAAGATTAACCAAACCCCATCTAGAAAATGGTGAAGTTGGGAGATTCTTTGGGTAATTCAAGAACATTGTAACTTATTGTTGGACAGAAGAGGCTGAAATAAAGGCATTGCTGAAATCAGACATATACAGATTGCTGATTAAATTATATTTTGAGGATTTTGTTAACTGACCTTCTTTGCAATGACCTGCCTTTGGACAAATAAAATATGGACATTATTTGTGTATAAATATTAACATGTGTATGTATATATAATATGTTTGTAGCTTCACAACTTTTAGTCATTCAAAAACTTAACTATGTCTCTGTAACTTTTCATCTTCTCCCATAGGTATCTCTGATGAGTATATTACACCTATGTTTAGTTTTTATAAAAGTGTTGCAGAATTGAAAATGACTCAAGAAGAGTATGCTCTGCTTACAGCAATTGTTATCCTCTCTCCAGGTAATTGTATTGTTTTGTTTTTATCTTTATGCCATTTGTTTATTTTTCTTCCTCTCCAGTATAATAGCAATAATGTTTCTTAAAGAAAAATCTAGAAGACACAGAGGTATAAAGAAAAAGTAAAATGGCCTGTAATCGCACTCTTCAAATGGAACCATTGTTAATATCTCAGTGTAGTTCTTCCCAGCCTTTCTTCTAAACATTAAACTCATTCATTGAATAATTGCATTTGGAACACCTACTATGTACTAAACATGGTTTCTGACAATGAGGGATACAGCAGTAAAGAAACAGGCCAGATATAGCTACATAGAGCTTACATCATAGTAGGATGAGAAAGACAATAAATGTAACAAAAATAACTTAAATGAGGTAGTGATGCTAAAACAAATATAAAGATAAGGATATAAGGAAAGAAAGTGTGCTGCAGAATGTTATAATTGGTGGACAGGAAAGACTTTTCTAAGAGGCTGAAATTTGAACAGGGAAGTAAAGGAAATTACATTCTTTTAAAACTTACTTTTTAAAAAAAAATTTTAATTTTATTTATTTATGAGAGACAGAGCATGAGCAGGGGAGAGGCAGAGAGAGAGAGGGAGATACAGAATCTGAAGCAGGCTCCAGGCTCTGAGCTGGCAGCACAGAGCCTGATGCGGGGCTCGATCTCATGGACCACAAGATCATGACCTGAGCTGAAGTCGGAGGCTTAACCGACTGAGCCACCCAGGCATCCCAAAACTTACTTTTCAAAAAAAAATGTATTTATTTATTGGGAGAGAGAGAAAGAGAGAGAGAGAGGGAGGGAGAGAGAGAGAGAACAAGGAGGAGAGGGGCAGAGAGAGAGACAGGGAGAGATAAAAATCTCAAGCAGGCTCTGTACTATCAGAGTGGAGATGAATATGACATGGGGATCGATCTTATAAATAATGAAATCATGACCTGAGCCAAGATCAAGAGTCAGACACTTAACTAACTGAGCCACTCAGGTGTCTCTACATCTTTTTTAACATAATACAGAACATACAATATTTTTTAAAAGTTTTTTTTCCTATGTCATTAAAAAAATTACATTGGCAAAACTTTGTTGAAATATATGTATCCATCATATTGATGTATAATCATTTGGATTATACATATTTGGATACTCAGGATGTTTCTAAATTTTTTGTTGTTTTAAACAATGTCAAAATGAACACCTGTATATAACATTTGTCTATATTTTTGGATTATTTTAATTATCTGAGAGCAATGCCACATTCATGATATGTAAAGTGTAATTTCAATATTAGCCTTAAACCATTTTTATATATAATATTGAGGCAGAAACTAGTTGTTAATTTTTTACCATAAAATTATATTCAAAAAGTAAAAATTTAATTTTTTTAATTAATTCAAATAATTAATATAAAAATTTATATTTATATTCAAATTATAAAAATTATATTTAAAAAACCCTTTTGGCCATACATACTAAAGCTACATAAACACACACACACACATACCGTATTACCTGGCAATTCTGCTACTTAGAATGATGCTTATGTTCATCATATGGGTTACCTTTGGGGGCATAGATTGAAAGGTGAATTCAGAGAGGCATCTGTTGTGGGCCAGTAAATGTTCTGTATCTTAATTTAGTTGTAATTACGTGTGTGTGTGTGTGTGTGTGTGTGTGTGTGTGTGTGTGTGTGTGAAAATTCATCAAGTTGAACTCTTAATTTGTACATTTAGAAGTGCACATTTGTAAGTTACATCACAAGAAAGTTACCATTGCTATAATTATGTCAAATGAATACTTTTCCACCTTTTAATTTTGTCCTCTTATTTTAAACTTCAAAACAGACAGACAATACATCAAGGACAGAGAGGCAGTAGAGAAGCTTCAGGAACCACTGCTTGATGTGCTACAAAAGTTGTGCAAGATTTATCAGCCTGAAAATCCTCAACACTTTGCCTGCCTCCTGGGTCGCCTGACTGAGTTGCGGACATTCAATCATCACCATGCAGAGATGCTGATGTCTTGGAGAGTAAATGACCACAAATTTACCCCACTTCTCTGTGAAATCTGGGATGTGCAGTGATAAGCACTGCAGGGGCAACAGCATCTACTGCTTTATTTTCCTTATAATATAAATCTGATGTATAACTTTCTTTAATTTCATTTGTACCTGGTTTCACACAAGAACTTTGATGAATATTTATGCGGTAATTATGTAACTTCTACAGTTGTAAATATGAAGCTAGGTAGGATTACTTTCTTTACATTCTATTTTATAAGGCTTCAGGGATTCTTTCATTCTAAGTGGCATGCCCTGTTTGCCTAATTAAATTGATCAGTCTTCACTTCTCTGTTGAAATAGGGAAAATTTCATTTTGCTCTTTATCTTACTTACTGCATATATTTTATAAGAGTGTTGTGTTCAATTTTGGCAATAAACTGAACATAATGGCAACAGGCTTTTCTTCCAGAACAAAATTTAAAAAATACACAAACTCATTTCTTTAAATGGCGAATGACATCCTACTGGGCCTAAGGGTGGGGTGATGGATAAGTTCTCACAACACAAATGGTGTTTTTCTCATCCTTGGAGAAGCCCTGGTGAATATTCATTTATTTGTAATAGCCCTCAGATTATTTCATTTTCTTTGAAGTTCAAAGAGATAGCATACAGAAAAGTTAATGATTCGCACATGAAGTATTCCCTCAAGCAAACCCTTTCCACAGTTAGGGTCTTGAAGCAGCATTTACAAATTCAGAGTATGCAGATAACTCCAGTGATGGGATATTCCCTTTTCCCTCTTAAAAGCACTCACTATTGGCTTCAGTGCATATAATCAATCTTTTTTGTTTTGTTTGTTTTGCTTTTGGAAAACACTCCTACAGCTGGGTGCACAGCTGTTGTATACTTCCCCCAAAGCAGGAATTCCTTCATTTCCTTCATTCATTGTTACACTGTTGCATTCTTCTCCCTATTATCCTCTGGTGAACACAATAAAACACCTTCTGTAAGTAACGGGCTTATATCTCCCTTTCTCCTGAAGTCAGCCAAAATGGAGCTTGCTTAGCTTGCAAAAGAGTTTTTCTATTAAAATATTAGAGCAACCCTGAAGTCCTAAGCATAGTGGAAAGGGGAATGTGTTGGGGCAAGTATTAGTTGGATTCCACTTGCTGCACCAAGATTTGAGTCCCCATTAAGTACAAGATCCTTACAGGGACACAGTAACTGCTAGGAGGGGTTTACAAAGAAGTGCAGAGGCAGGTTTTATGGGCTCACTGGGTAAGTCTTATGGAGGTGGAATTTCCCTTGGGCTTGGAAAGATAGCCAGGACTCCCATGGTTCAGGGTGAGAGGGATTCAAAACACAAGGAAAGGGTGGAGAATTGTGCAGATGTTAAAAAGCACAAGTAATCTGGGGAGAGACCTAGAGTGCACAACCCTTCCTGAACCTCAGTTTCCCCATTGTGAAATAAAGATACCAGACCCTACCATCTCAAGGGATTTAGCTCCTGAATGGTTAAGAGGGAAGTTGTAGGCCCACCAAGGGAGAGGGCTGGTAAAGGAAGGACACTTAAGATAAAGAAGTAAATTTCTGAATGGGTGAAGGAAGAGGTCCTGTTTAGGAAACAGTGTGGTTTTGTGTTTCTAGATCACAAGGCAACTATAGAGAAGGTGGTGGGAAATGAGCTGGAAGGGAGGCGGCACTGTAGAGAGACCTAAGTGTTTCTCCTGTAGGTGTGGATTTATTCGTGTAGTTAAAACCTTGTAATGGCAAATAATAATGGTTCTCATGTAGAAAACAAATTGTGATACAATAAGAAACACATATGGGCTCTTTGTCCCCAGTTCCTGACACAGAGCTTCTAAAACCACTGAAATTTCCTAATAGGGGTGAAAGGAGTGTCTTATGTTATTCATAACAAGCTCCTTTCAAGCACACCTGAGTTTATGCTAATAAGGTGATGGGAGGAGAGATCTAGATGCTTCAGATTGAGGGATGATTGCTAGAGGAACCAACCTTGCAATTAGAGAGCTGGATCTTTCAACCCCATCCCCAGACTCTGCAGATGGGAGAGGTCAATCACCAGTTGCCAGGCATTTAATCAATCATGCCTATGTAATGGACATTCCATAAATATCCCTAAATGATGAGTTTGGAGAGTACACATCAAGGTGCTGGGAGTACGGTGTGCTGGAGAGAGCATGGAAACTCCATGTTCTCTCCCCCACTCCCATACCTAACCCTGTGCCTTTTCCATTTGGCTATTATTGAGTTGTACCCTTTATAAGAAACCAGTAATAGTAAGTAAACTGTTTCCAGAGTTCTGTGAACCATACCAGCAAATTCTCAAAATTGAAGAGGGAGGCCATCAGTAAAGATCTTATTTACAAATAAGGTCACATTCTGAGGTTCTAGATGGACATGAATTTGGGGGTAGGGGCACACTATTCAACCCAGTACATAGAACATTTTAGTATTAATCACAACTGTTGTTATTGTAACATTTTATATCACTGAATTACTTATATTCATTTATACATAATATACATTTCTTTAAGATAAGCTTAATATTGTTTTTAATGTAGTTGGCTCTCAATAGATTATCTGCTGAATGAGTAGTTTAATTGATTGTAAATAAGTCAAGACTTCCATTGCCCCCAAATTTTATCCAGTATTTCACACAAGACATAAGCCATAGATTGACACCCAGAAATGTCAAGGCATTAAATGCAAAGCAGCTGCCACAAAATGCAGAACAAAACAACTAATCAATCAAAAGTAATAAAAAGAAAAAAAACAACAACTATAGTATTTTTTTTTTAAATTCCAGGGGTTCCTGGGTGGCTCAGTCAGTTAAGCATCTGACCCTGGCTCAGGTCATGATCTTGCAGTTTATGAGTTTGAGCCCCATGTCAGGCTCCTGTGCTGACAGCTCAGAGCCTGGAACATGCTTCAGATTCTGTGTCTCCCTCTCTTCTCCTCCCCTACTCATGCTCGCTCTCTCTTTCAAAAATAAATACTAAAATAAATAAATAAATAAATAAAAATTCCAGTATACTTAACATACAGTGTTATATTAGTTTCAGGTGTGCAATATAGTGATTCAACAATTCTATATATTACTCAGGGCTCATCAAGATAAGTGTAGGCTTAATCCCCTTTACCCACTTCACCCATCCCCTACCGACCTCCCCTGTGGTAACCTCCAGTTTGTTCTCTGTAGTTAAGAGGCTGTTTCTTGGTTTGTCTCTATTTTTCTCTGTTCATGTTTTTTCTTAAATTCCACATATGAGTGAAATCATATGGTATTTGTTTTTTTCTCTGACTTATTTCACTTTGCATAATACTCTCTAGATCCACCCATGTTGTTGAAACTGGCAAGATTTCATTTATTTTTACGGATGAATAATAGTCCACTGTATATACATGCATATATATACATACAAACAAACACACATACATACATATATGTATGTATATGTGAATGTGTATCACATCTTCTCTATCCATTTGTCTATTGGTGGACACTTGGGCTGCTTCCATAATTAGGCTATTGTAAATAATGTTGCAATAAACCATAAGCGTGTGTATATCTTTTCAAATTAGTGGTTTTGTATTCTTTGAGTAAATACCCAGCAGTGGAATTACTGGATAATTTGGTAGTTCTATTCTTAAATTTTTGAGGAGCCTCCATACTATTTTCCACAGTGGCTGAACCAGTTTGCATTCCCACCAACAGTGAATGAATGCCTTTTCCCCACATCCTTGCCGGCACTTCTTGTTTCTTGTATTGCTTGTGTTTTCTTGTTGTTCTCTGTATTTTTGACTATAGCCATTCTGACCAGTGTGATTTTGCATTTCTCTGATGATTAGTGATGTTGAACATCTTTTCATGTGTCTGTTGGCCATCTGTATGTCTTCTTTGGAGAAATGTCTGTTCATGTCTTCTATTTTTTTAATTGGATTATTTGTTTTTGTGGTGTTGGGTTGTACAAGTTCTTTAAATATATATTTTTTATTTCAGAGAGAGAGAGAGAGTGCAAGTGGGGGAAGGGACAGGGAGAGAGAGAGAGAGGGAGGGGGGAGAGAGAGAGAGAGAGAGAGAGGGAATATCTTAAGCAGGCTCCACATTTAGTGCAGAGTCCAACAACTCTGGGCTCAACCCCTTGACTCTGGGATCATGACCTGAGCTGAAACCCAGAGCAGGACACTCAACCAACTGAGCCACCCAGGTGGCCTGAGTTCTTAGATATTTTAGATACTAACCCTATATCAAATATGTCATTTTTAAATATCTTCTCCCATTCCATAGGTTGCCTTTTAGTTTTATTGTTTCCTTTGCTGTGCAGACGCTTATTTTGATGTAATCCCAACAGTTTATTTTTGCTTTTATTTCCCTTGCCTCAGAAGACATATCTAGAAGAGTGTTGCTATGGCTGATATCAGAAAAATTACTGCCTGTGTTCTCTTCTAGGGCTCTCGTGGTTTCAGGTCTCGCATTTAAGTTCTTAATCCATTTTGAGTTTATTTTTGCAACTATGATATATCCTAAGCAATAGACCATTCTTGCAGGGCTGTGAACAAGCCAAATCATATCTCAACATCCAAGGGGCTTATGGTTTTGGACGTTCTTCTGTATTCTGTAGAGATGTTTGATTAGTCAGATAAATGATTATTCCTATTGTAATAACTTTTTTAAACTTTAGATTTCCAAAAATGGTGCCTTCTTAAAGTAGGCACATCTTCACAATTCTGGCAAAGTCATAACTAATAGGCATTGTCATCTGATGGAAACAGACTGGTGAGGCTTGCTCTACGTGTTGCAACCATGGCAATTTCAAGTAAAGTAAGGACTTCTAAAATATGGCTATTAGCCTAACCACCAATTAGAGAACCTACACATGAAAGTAGATTGCACCTCATTAGGTGGAACTCTCAATTACTAATTGTAGTGTTAAAATCAAGATAGGTAAGATGGTGAGTGCACTTAGGTAGTGGGTTACTAACTGAGAGTTAATGTAAAAGTGAGGTTGAGAAAGCAACAGGAGACCTTTCTTCTTATACAGAAGGGAAAAGCAGCAAGAATCAAAGAATTTAGAAGAAAACTCCTCACCCAATCTATACATTTATTCAGTGATGGATATGGGTTTAAAGAGAAGTGATTTGTTTGGACTTAGTTTTTTAATGTTTAATTATCTTGAGAGTGTGTGTGTAGGGGAGGGGCAAGAGAGAGGGAGAGAGAAAAATCCCAGGCAGGCTCTGTTCTGTCACCACAGAGCCTGATGTCACAGACTGTGAGATCAAGAACTGAGCTGAAATCAAGAGTTGGACAGTTGGACACTTAACTGACTGAGCCACCCAGGTGCTTCTGCATAGACTTTCCAATTGCAGAGTCACTTTCCTCCATACTGTCTTATACCTTTATAAGGTACAGAAGCTACCGAGACAAACTACAAAGACAATGAAAATAAAAAGAAAGCAAACATAAAATATCTTGCTGCCAAACTTTCAGTGTGTTCAGAAATGTGGTTCTCAAATATTAAGTGGTGTGTGTGTGTGTATGTGTGTGTATGAGGGAGAGAGAGAGGAAATGTTTACGTACATATATGAGTACAACATACAACTTTTATTAAGTGGTATTAAAATGTTTAGGCACATAGTATGCACGTAAGAAAAAAAAACTAATGACTTGTCAAACAGCTCTTAAAAGTTCTGTAGAGAAGTGTCCAGATTTTTATATTAGGCCCCAACAAATCCAATTTAAAGCTACAACTCCACTTCAAAATTTGGCTAAACGATGTTATATGACAAACTGTCCTTTAGTTTTAAACAGAAACACTATAAAACACATGTTTATTTGAACAGCAGGTCCTATGAAAATTGATCTGTTGCAGTTAAGGGCACCAAAGGATTCTGGGATTAACTTTAGGAAAAAAGAAGGAGCAACCACAGTCTCTTCAGCAAGGCAGCAGCAGAACCTCCTCATTGTTCATGGTCAGTGAATGAAGGCATAAATTCTAGAGACAGAACATCACTCCAGGTGAACGCCCTCATTTTACAGATGGGAAACTGAGGCCCAGGGAAGTGACATCACCTGACAAAATCAAACAAGAGGGGAAGGATCTGGGCCTCCAGGTTTTTGGCCATTGAATTTTTTTCTTCTTCACTATTAGCATGTCACGTTACAGTTAGAGACTTATTGCTACATTAAAGTCCAGTCTCTGCTTTATTTAAACCATCACAGCAGCTAGTAAGCATCCCTCATTGTGATAAGTTTAATTAAGTAATTAATTAATTTTTTTAAATTTTTTACTCTGCTGCCTGGTGTGTTCCCTGAATAGCCAACATCCTCTCTTTGCTTCCAGTTGTGGCTGGGAGTTGCAGGATCCTCTCCAACTTTCACCAACCCCTCACAGGAAGAGGGACCTGTCTCAGGAAGGGACTCCCATTCCTGCTGGGTGACAGTTTGTCCCCGGAAACCGTGGCGCCCTCAGTACAGCCAGATCTCCAGTGATTAAGGGTTGGGAGGGCCTCTTCACAGATGACGATAAAACTCGGGGCAATGCCCTTGAACTCTACCTTGCAACTCTTCAGGATGCTTAGAGGCGACGCTGACTCACCTCTTATGCCTATCGGGACAAATATCGGGGCTGTTGAGGTCGCGTAGGGGCCAGATGCGCGGACTTGCCCCGTGACCGAGCCACTTTGCTTTTCGGTGAAAAGCGGGATTTGGCCACCAGACTTGGGAGACGCCAAGAGGAAGAAGGCGGGGCACCCCGGGCTGACTGAGACGCGCGCGCCTGTCGCGTGCTCCCGGCGGTCTGGGGTGGGGCCTCCAGCCACGCCCTCCCTCCGCCTTCTGATTGGTCCTTTCGAAACAGGCGGCGAACCGCGGCGAGCTCGGAGGCTCAGGCCGTGGCGGCGGCGGTTGGTCAGGGGCGTGGCGGCTTCGCGCAGATCGAACCGAGATGTCATCCTGCAGGGAGAAGTGACCATCCCGCGCCAGGGCGGGTAAGTACTTCCCTGTTTGCCTTCTCTTTTCCTCGGGAGGCTTCCCTCGCCTTCTAGGGGCATCTGCCCCTCAGTCTGCTGTTCGAGGATCCCCCCACCCCCACCCGCCGCGCTCTGCTGAGTCCAAGAGGTGGTTTGTTTGGGGCTGCGGGATCCAAGTCGTTCTGCGATTGGCCCGCCGCAGGGTTTGCGTCGTCTGATTGGTTCTTGGGGCTGTCAAGGTGAAGTTTTGCCTGCCCTCTCCCGCCCACCCTTGTGTGTGGTTTGAGGGGCAACAGGTGTGCAGGGGCGGGGGCCGGCAGGTGCAGACGTAGTCCTTAGGGAAAGAGGTATCAGCCTTTACCGCTCTGCTTTAGAATCTAGAGAGGGATCAGAGCCTGAAGCTTAGTTGAAGGTCTCCAGGGCACCCTCATCGCCAAGCGCCTAGCACAACCCTTGATTCTTCAGCACCACCCTCTGGAAGAATTAACGAAGTCGCTGACCTTGGAGAGAGAACGACACAGACCATCATTTCGCCCGCCGGCAAAGTTTACAGCCTCTTCCTTATTTGTTCTCTCCAGTCCAGGCAGGGCTCTGCTTTCCCACCGGCACCCCTCACTTGGGAGGGCTGCCTTGGGAGAGAATTACAAAAGAAAGGGGAGACCTTGTAGATTGCCCTGGAAATCCGGGGAAACTTGGAGCGCCTGCTTCCTCATGCAGTCACTCCCGGTTCCTAACTAATCTTCTCAAACCCAGGGATTGGATTTTATAGATTTAAGAGTGCTTTATGGTACGCACGGTGGACTTGCCGATCCAGCCCTAAAGCGAAGAGATGGTTTTTTGTTTTGTTTTGTTTTGTTTTTTTTGCAGCCCCAGTCCAAGTCACATTTTGGGTTTTGTTTTGCTTGGATGAAGAGCGCTAATAACTGCTTTCTCAGAAGATTTGCAGTTAGTGAACTGCTGTATGATCACGTCTCTTGGCACTTAAATGATTAAGAATTGGACTTCTCACCACCTCAGATTTTCTTTGGGAGGAGATTGGAATGGATTTGAATGAAAAAGTGGAAACTGATGAGAATTTTCTAACGTGGATTCGGTTACAAGTTGTCTGACTCATCTGTTTCAAAATCTTACTACCAACCGACCTTGGATAGTAGATGCCTCTGCTATTTTGACATTATTGATTTAAAGTAATATTTCTTTTCAGCATAGGTGAAAAGGTTGCTAACCATTCAGGCTCTGAAATCAGGCTTTACCATGTGTGTGACCTTAAGCAAGTTGTTTAATCTTTCTAAGCCTAAATTTCCTAATCTGTAAAAGAAGGTTAATAATAGTTCCCTACCTTATTGATGGGAAGGTTGGTGTGAGGATTAAATGAAATAATCCATGTAAATAGTTTAGTACAGTGCCCGACACATAGCTGTTATTATTTCTGTGCTGTTTAATTTGTATTAAAAGTTTCAAGCTACAGTGGCGCCTGGGTGGCTTAGTCGGTTAAGCGTCCGACTTTCGCTCAGGTCATGATCTCACGGTTCTTGGGTTCGAGCTCCGCGTCGGGCTCTGTGCTGACTGCCAGCTCAGAGCCTGGAGCCTGTTTCAGTCTGTGACTCCCTCTCTCTCTGACCCTCCCTTGCTCACGCTGTCTCTCTCTCTCCTAGAAATAAATAAAACATTAAAAAAAAATAAAATTTTCAAGCTACACCCAAAGGGCCGACAGGAGCAAAAGGTAAAGACAGTGCCAGAGGCAGCGATGAGTTCTCATTCATTGATTAATTTAATGCCTGTAAAGCATTAAAAATAGTATCTGGCTAAACACTGTTACTATTTATCAAACACATTATTACCTAGAATGTGCAGGCAGGTGTTTTAGCTGCTTTACTTACATTAATGGTAAACCTGTTAGTAATCCTGTAATGTAATTGATGTTATCTCTCTGTAATAGAGGAAACTGAAGCTCAGAGAAAGCAAATAACCCACTAAGTCCTCCTAGAATTCAGCCCACCCTTTTCTTTGTGTCACACTGCCCTTCATTTATATTCTCAGTATTATATAACTTCTCTGCACAGAATTGTTTGTATGGCCCGGGTTCATTTCTGCCACGGGTGTAGGTTTATTTTGAATACTTCTTTAATTAAAAAAAATAATGAAATAATTTGTGATGGTAGATCAAAGTGTGTGATGAGAGAAAAAGTCAGAAAACACTAAATAAGTCCAATGGTGTTTGGAAAATTGGCCAATTTAGAAATAATGTTTCCTAATTTGTATTTTCCCACTTAGCTTTTGTGTATTCACTATATTTTTTACTATGCAGCACTCTTCTATTATTTTTTTCTCTGTAAATCTCAAGTTTGGAGGTAAGAGAAGAAGGTTCAGTTATTTCAATAATATTTTCAAGCCAGCTGTTAATGAGGAAAGTAAGGGATTAAGGTTAATATGTATTGTTAGATTTTACTTTCTCACAATAACATGTCTGTGTACGTCTGTGTGAATATCTGTGTACATGTGTTTTACTTTCTTATTACCTATTACTCTATACTTTGATATCAGATACACCTTTACATACCTAATGAACCATGTGATATACATGGAATTTGAGAGAATAGGAAGCTGGAGTCTGTCAGTAGGTTTGTCTCTCACTTTCAGTTTCCCTATTTTTAATTGAAATTTAACTGCCACAGAGAAATGCCTCAGAAGCCATGCTTACAAGAGAAGGCAGTAATTACAATTGTATTTCTTCAGTGTTTTTCCTCCTAAAAAGTTTTCTCATGTTTTTACATTGTTACATAGTAGGTGGTTTTAACAGGAAGTTACCATGTATTTTATAAATCACTAATTGCCAAAGAACTGGACTGTAATAAAATGTAGCATGTGCACTAAATGTTGATTACATCTTTGATGTTGAAAGCTCTTAGGAATTTATAGTACAAAGACCATCAGTCATATGATAGATATTGCTGAAGTGCTGATAGAGATTTCTACCTATTATCACACACCATATACTTTTCTGTAACAGTATAATATTAACTATGGTGAAGAGCTCCTTTTACATAGAGTTTTAAACATAATGGCTTTTGTTTTTTCTTGATGGATGACATGTTCCTATTTTTATTCTAAAAAAAATCGGAAGTTGAAGAACTTGTGTTCAGAAGATTTTCTTTTCTACACCATCACTCCCCTAATTTAGAAAACATTGTGATCCTAATAACATACACACTGCTCTGCAGATTGCTTTTGGTCACATAATGTGTAATAGACATCTTTTCATAGCAGTAGATACAGCTCTTCCTTTTTCACGTGGCTGAATGAATCCACTGCATGGATGTACTGCACCTTACTTGAGCACCTTCTTGTTAATAGATGTTTGAGCACCTTCTTCTTAATAGATGTTTTATGTTGTTTTTATATTTCTTTATATTAGTGTTTGTGTACGTGTATGTTTTCCATAGAGTCTTTTAAGGGCCAACTGATTGTAAGTTGCTTAAAATATTTTTATGATAAATGAATAGTTCTATCAAACATAAAATTATGTTATTTAGGTGGAATCTCTATGAAACATTGCAAGAGGAAAATTTCAAACAGAACAGCAAAGACTCCCAACAAATGAACAGTCTTTATAATTTTGCAAATAACATGTGATGTTTTTATGAAGCTCTAAGAATCTTCTTTCTTTCTCTTAAGACTTCATCTGTTTTGGAGCTGCTTTTTCCTTAAATGAATGTACCATAGATTTACTTCATTATTGTTTCATGTTCCCTTTAGTGATAAATGCAACATTTATTGTATTTAGGAGTAAGTCTGGTACTAATTTTAGCACTAATTTCTACATAGTCTTAGAAGACATGGGGAATGTAACCCCCACCCAGGATTCTTTATAAAATATAGAGTATTTTATATGTATGGAAGTATGTATTGCTGTGTACCCTAAACTGGGGAGGGAGTTCATGAGGTTGGTGTTTTTTTTGTTATTGTTGTTTGTTTTTGTTTTAGAAGAATTGAATATGAAAATAGGTAGAAGTGAGTCTTGAGGAAGGGGAGGAGGAAGATTGTTGCATGTAGATAGATCATCATGTCAAAGTCCCAGAGGTGAAAGAGCATGCTCAAAGGGTCTGAAAGAAGTTCAGTATAGCTGGAGTGTGAGGATCAAGAGAAGAGGCTAGTGGGGATCTGTAATGCTTTGTTAGCTTTGTTGAGGAGTTGGGGCTTTATCCTGAAGGAACGGGGGGTCATTAAGGGTTTTAAGCAGGGCAGTAGTAAGATGTCCTCAGATGAGTGTGAAAGATCGGTCTGGCTGCAGTACATGAAGATGAAGAGCAGGTTGGAGACTTGCAAGGCTGGAGAAAAGGTGACTGATTGAAAGCTGTTTCAGTAAACCTAGAGACAGATGGTGGCTTGAACTAGAGGTGTGGCCATAGATATTGAAGAGAAAATTTAGAGGTACAAGCAATAAGATATGGTCACTGATTGTTTTGGCTGAGGAATTCGAGGAGGCGGTGGAGGCATGGGAGAGGAAGGAATCATGGAAGACGTGTTTAATATGGTGAATGTTGGTGCTGTTCCCTATGATAAACACAGAAAGCTTTTGTAAATGTTTAAATGAGTAAATGAATAAATGATCTCAGTTATACAGAGGCAGGGCCATTTGGTGGTGGTGGTGATGATGATGATGATGATGATGGTAGACAATGCATAGCACAATGGGTTTCACCTATAAATTTTGTATGTTCTTTTGTTTGGTTGGTTTTGTTTCTATTTTAGCATACTTTTACAACTGGTGCCATTTTTCTCATTGGTTTAACATGATGGGCTCACTATATCTTCTCATCATGTTCTGGATGTGTATCACTTTCTTCAGGCCAAATGTCTTGACCCTCTGGGTGCAGTGTCCATTCTCCACTTAAGATGTGTATTCCTTTTCTATTACTGCTGGAAAACATTACCACAACTTAGTGGTTTAAAACAACACAAATTTATTATCTTTTGATTTGAAAGGTCACAAATCTGAAATGAGCTAAAAAAAAAAA